AATAAATAAATAAATAAATAAAAAATCAAATGGAACCTGAGAAACTCAAGTGTGCAACAGTGGAGTCTACTAGGGCAATTGTGTGACGAAAAAAAGATGAAAAATCACCCTGAGAAAGTTGAGACTTGGTGCTGGACCACAAAGACAATGCAGGTAACAAAAAGAAGAAAATCGATCTGCACATTAGATAGTCTGAAAACTTTTGTCTAAAAAAGGGCGCATGGTCCAAATATCTGCTGTTTGAATAAAATAATTTGGGAGCTAAAACTAGTGGGCATATCTACCTTTTTCATTTTCCAACTGTGTAACTGCCCATAGTGAAGAGCATAGATTAGAAAGAAGCAACTCCTCAAAAAATCTACTTAAAAAAAAAAAAAAAAACATAAGCAGCCTACAACGATAAGCTAAAGACACTGGAGAAGAGTTTATTCAAAGTGATAGAGACTAAGCTTTTTGGCCTCAGTGACAAAAAGGATTTTTGGGAACATCAATTGGAGGATTCCTTCCTTCAGGACAGTGGATCAACTTTTTAGCACGGTAGTAATGGTACTGTTGAGAGTCATACTGTTGTAGATCAAAAAGGAAAAGTAGTAACTAACCTGTCGATTTATTCTCTTAGCAAACTGACTTGTTTGGGTGTTCTAATAGTAAAGTTTTCCTAAAAGCACAGCAGCAATGGCTTTGGAATAAAAATTGTTTGCAATGGTTTCTGAATTCGACCTGTCTATAATCTAGAGAACCATGCGTAAAAGGCAGATACCTACCAGCAAACACAAAATTGCAAAGGATTAACACCCCTTCTTAAAAAAAGAGTGTCTAGAATTCCAGTTAACATGGTTAAAACATTCCACCTGCAAAGTGGGGTTCTTTCCATTTTAGCTGTTTAAATAAGAAATACTGATCAAGCATTAAGCCAGAATTAGGTTACAAATTTGGCAAAGCTATAAAAAGTGTGTGGTCTCTTGCAAGTCAGTAAGAACCGCCTCGATTCTTTTGTAAAATTTTGACTTAAACACCCATTTCTTGTTTTAGAAATCCTTGAAATAATCTGTTGTCAAATAACTACATCCTGAAAAAGAATGCTTCCTATGCAGGACGAAAAGCTAAACAGTAATATAATTTCTATGCTTGTGATGACTGCATGTAAACTCTGAGAATGTATGTTCTAAAACTGATGCACCTCAACTATTGTAGAAAAGCGTGAATGTTTATACCTTACTGAGGTTTCTGTTCATGGTAGTGTGGGGGATATGCAGAGATTGGCCTCACAGCTGGAAGAGCGACTTGCAAATGTATGCATGGCCAACCAGGCCTTCAGGGCCCTCCGGGGCCAAAGGTGAGTGCACCTGCAGTGGAAATTTGCAGAACATGCATACATGAGGTAAAACTATGTTGACATATATAGCTATAAATATGCATCCTGTTCTACAGGGTCACAGAGGGCTTCCAGGAAAACCCGGGGACCAAGGAAGAGCAGGAAAATGGGTAAATAAATAGAATATGTTTAACTGTCATGCAAGAATTGAGGCTTGCATCACAACGTTTGATTAATGTTCTCAGCATGTGTTCTACTGAGTTGTTCTCACTGCACCCTAAAGAGCTGAGCTGATTCTAAAGTGACACTGTAAAGCTCTGCAAAAAACAAACAAAAAACAAGTAAGAAGCTCAACTGAGACAAATGGATGGAAAGAAATCTTGAAAATGATGGTCTTAGTAACTGTAAACACAGGCACTCCCAGCATAGTTTACATGAGATTTTTTAAGAGTTTGAGATAAACAAAAATAAACACAAGTTGACAATAAATTTGTTTTTGTAGTTGATATAGAAAGACTGTTTTTGAAAGTACAATTTCTCTAAAATTGGCCCAAGATGAGAGGACTTCTAATGTTTTTGATTTTGCATTGGGAATAAACCAAACCAGATGTGGTAATGAACCCCACACAACAGAAAACCAGACATCAGAGCAATAACTAGAACACTCAGTGATCTGGTACTGAGTACAGTTGTGGTTCTTAACTCTGTTAAATAATTAAGCTTTTTTTTATCATATCAATGTTGATAATAACACTAATTCATCTCAGGAAGACCTTATTAGAGAGAAACGTGGGATGTATTATTACAGAAGAAAATCCCCTTCTAAAGGAGCCAGTCACACATTCAACAGAGAACCTCAGATGCTGTTTTTTCCAATTTAAATTTATGTCTTGTTAATCTCTTTGATGCTAGGCAGTAAAACGTGGAGCATTTTAAAAACACCCTGGAGAAAACTTGTTTAAGATGGAGATTTTTCTCTTTTTTAAACATTCAATGGTTTGGCATTCATGTTGTTAGTGCACTCAAACAAACCTCCCTCTGCTGCCTGAAGAAACACCCAGAGCACATTTCCAGAGTTCTACATGCTACATGTTCATGTCTTCAGTTGCTGCTGTAGCTCATCTGGGAGGAAACATCTGTCTCCAGTAACTGGTTGGAGTTTTGACCTCCTGCCAGGTTGTGAATCGCAAACCCACGACTTGTTTGTGCTTTCTTGAAGGCATCCAAGGAGGGCATTTCCTGGCACTGGTTCATGAATTTGCCCACGTTAGATGGTGTGTGGTCTTTCAATCGAACAAGCTGTCCTGCCCACAAATGTAGTAAATGTCAGGGCATCTCTGAGGTTAACCTCTGTCCAGCTGACTATGCCAAATGCTTGCTGTTAGGTGAAATTGTCAAATAAACTGACAACAGAAAGGTGTCCCGGACCTTGTTTCAACTGTTTTTTGACTCAGTTTAATGCAGGCAAAGCAGTGGAAAACGCTTTTCCATCTTCATTTTTGGAAATCACCATCTGTGCAAACAATTCAAATCTGTCCTGTTGTATTTATGACTAATGTTTTGTGAATTTGGCTTGACTATTCCCCTAATGGGATAAATATAACTCTGTTCAATGCAAAGCTGGGGTCCCTTGTTAAAGGAAAAATAAACAATGTAATAACAGGTGCTTTTTAATAAATTAGAAAAACATCAGGAACTCTATCATCTATGGATTCGCTACACATGGGATATCTTTCCCATCTTTCAAGTTGAGTAGGATTATTATGGCTACAGCAAAAGAAAAAGTGAATAAAAATACAATCGTACATAGATATGGGCTTTATGATAGGTATTTCCATGTGCTGAATAGTATAAGCACTTAATAATTAGTCAGAGTTCCTTTTGCATGGTTTACTGCATCACTGGTGCTCTGTGGCTCTGTTGGCAAGCAACTTTCAATTTATCTACTTTGTCATGTTTGGGGCCTCTGCCTAATCTTGCTCCTAGCAACTGACCAGTTTCTCAATAAGTTTTAGGTCAGTTGAGTTTGTTGGTCAATCAAGCAGAGCCTGAAGAGTTTAATTAGCATTCAAATAAAGCTTGCAAGCATGAAGTGCTGTAAAATGTGTTGGTAGAGGGCTAGACTGACTTTGAACTTGAATGGAACACAACTGCTTAACACCACCAGATGACATAGCTTCCTACATCAACACTGAGCCTGCAAACTTCACACTAGCTGAAGGAATGTGGTTTCTCTTCTCTCCCCTATTCCTCCAAGCCCCTTCACCAGTCTTTTCCATCGTTAGCCCAAGTTACACCATTAGGTCAGGCATGGGTTAACCCGAGAATACCAACTCTTGTAAACATTGTCTTTGGTAAATCTGTGGTAGTTGGCAATGTCCACAGGGTTTTAAACCCTGACTCCAAGTGCAGTCCATGCCTCACAGATGCTTAGGCAAATTCTTAGTCATCTGGGTCATGGCAACCAAAAAGGTGTAATGACTCAGAACATAAACACCCAGACAGATAGTGGGATAACTTCAAAAGCGTTTATTTAAAAACGGACAGTTAGCGGATCTGCTGCATCAGCGGCTAGGGCATCTGAAGCAGCTAATTCTGGACAGAAGAAACACAAGTTATTGACTGCGAAAACCAGACGGAGGATAATCTGAATCCGTGAGTCACTAACCTGGTTTAGAGTACAGTTCATGCAAACATGAACAAGGTTGATACCAGCCGGTTCATACCAGCTGACAAGATGCAGAGCTTGCTATACAGAGAGTTCCAGAAGCCTTGAAGGAAACAGAACTGACAAGAGATCAGCTCCGAGCAGATGACGGAAGACAGAATAATTCAGAGGGCTGATCAGGAGGCAGATCTAAGGTCAGGCAAACAGATGAGAACTGGGGCAGGCAGGCTCAAAGGTCTGAAGACAAACGGGTCAGGATCATGCAAACAGAACACTATAATTAACATTGGAAAACTCTCTACACCAAAGGCTGAAGAATAATCTGGCACTGGTGACTGGGAGCAAGCACCTTAAATAGAGACAGGAGCAGGTGGATCAGATGAGCAGTGATGAGAAAACCAGGCAGAATTTTATAGGCGAATGAAATGAGAAATTAAATGATAAATGGTAAATGGCCTGTACTTATATAGCACTTTTTTAAGTGACGAGACTTGACCAAAGCGCTTTACACTTCACACACAGTAGGTAATGTGAGTGAAGTGTCTTGCCCAAGGACTCAACAACACTAAAATCTGGGGCACCGAACCAGCAACCCTCAGACTGCAGGGCAAACTCCTGCACCTGACGCCACTGCCACCCAATTAAGCCAGTCCTCAGTGCCAAGATCATGACATAAGCAATATTTCTGAAAACGTTTCAACAACTATCCAAGAGTCTTTATCAAAAGTTGACTGGATATGTTCTTCAGAGATTTCCCAAAATTCTTCTAAACCTTTGTGTTCAACACATTTTCCTTTCACTTAACTACCACCACTCTTTTTAGATACATTTCACTGTTAACAGCCAGCTTGTACAACACAGACCTTTTTAGACTTACCTGACTTGTAGAGGGCAATCACCGCTTACAGGTTTTGAATTAGTTGTAAACAATAACCATGTAAATTATCCTTGAAATATCTCATACTGTGTGTAATAGATTTCTAGAAATATTTTCCCACTTCCTTTTGAATGAAATATTGCTTTCCTGTTATTCTATGTTTAACTGATCCTCTATTTACAAAGTTCCAACCTCTTTGATTAGAAATAGTACTAAGAAGTCATATCAACTTAATTTTGTTGAATACAAGAAATACATACATTGTTTACATTGTTTTCACTTGCATAATTTATCCTCTAGCTGGGCTTTTGATGATCCCAGCAAGAACAGAGAGCAGCACTCTGCAGCAAACAGCAAATTAAAACTGCTTCAAGGCAACAAGCTATGCTTGTATTCTTTTTTTTTGTAGGGAATCCATGGAAAGACGGGAAACTATGGAAATATTGGTGAGACAGGACCAAAGGTGAGCTGTGTATTTGTACCTGAGTGCTGTACTTTTTGTGGCTCACGCATGCACTTCAGAAATGAAAACTCATACACACATCCGTAGGGCGAATCAGGGATCAAAGGAGAAAAAGGGATGAGAGGACCCTGGGGACAACGGGTAATTCATCACTCAGATTTACCATCATAATTTATTAAGAAACCCTACAAGCGTGCATGAATAAGATGCTGTCTTACAGGGAGAGAGGGGTCCAAAAGGGCTAAAAGGACTGAAAGGAGCTGCAGGCTTCAAGGTAAACTCCTTTGTTTCATTTTGATTTTAATGACTTAACACATTTGTTTCAGCGGTGGCATGAAATTTAGATCTTTTAACTGGATGTCTTTGTAATAAAGGGGATTCAAGGACCTCATGGAGACATTGGAGAAACTGGGAAACAAGGAGAGATTGTATGTTAACCTTTCTTTTTAGTTTTTACTATTTTCAAAATCAGCAATGTCACTACTTTGTTTTGCACTTTTTACCTCCTTCAAGGGCACTAAAGGCCTCCGAGGATATCCAGGGATTCCTGGGTTTCAAGGAGTGAAGGTATTTGCGTTTCTCTTCAATTTAGATCTTTAACTTCTCATCTAAAATGATCTAAACTCATCCCACTTCATTTTCAGGGCCAAAAAGGGAATTCTGGAGCTACAGGGAGGCCTGGACTCAGAGGAAAGCAGGTGTTTTTTTTTTGTTTTTTTTTGTGTGTGGGGAGGGGGGGGATTCCCTGCAGTGGGAAATGCTTATTATTAGTATTTTTTTTTTGTTCCAATGTTCAAAATCCCCCCATGTGACCACAGAAGGCTATTAAATCATTTCTGATGGGGTAAAACATTGGAATCAGAGTACAGTGGGTTTTTGGCCTATGTGCCGTTTCCATAAACAGCATTAGTTTATGTGGCTGGATTTTGGCGAAGATCTAAAGCCTGAACTGTATCAACACGAGCAGATGAGTCACTGCTTAAAGAGCATAAACCACAATGATAATCCATTCTGCTGTAAATGAAAGAGGACTCCTTAAATCATCACATCCCCTGATGGATGTTGCAGGCAGAGTTAATTCCTAATTATCTTTGTTTCAAATGGTGACTCAACAGGGTATTGTAGGGGATCCTGGGAAAAGGGGAGCTCCTGGAGAGAAGGGAAGGCCTGTGAGTATTAAAATAATCATTTTCATCCAACCCAGTGAAGATGTACAACATGGATTCAGTTTTAATTTCAATGTTGTTTTTCTTTTTTTTTTTCTTTTTTTTTGTGAAATTCAGGGTATCCAAGGACCTTTGGGAAGAGCTGGACCTATTGGCTCCGAGGTAGCACACTGCTCATTAAGCAAACAATATAATTTTTTAAAACAATGGTCCTTACACTTTTAGTAACACATGTCCAAAAAAAAAAAAAACGTGTTTTCTATAAGAAGATGGTACATCCAGCTCCAGAAAGTAAGAGCCCTTTCCTCTTTTCAATTAACCCCTTGGTTCTAAACATCTCAATTCATTTCAGTTCATTTATATAGCAGCAATTCACAATTCCTCATAGAGATAATACAGTTGGATTGGCTCATAGTTTCTTTTAAGGACAACAATTTGGATCTCAAACTGTTTGGAACAGTGTCATGCAACCTTTAGTTGAGTCCCTTGCCCTCCATTGATGAATCAAATGGCTAAACTACCTCACAAACAGCAGTCAAGATTTGCTGTTGAGCTTATATTTTGCAGAGGTGTGTTAAAGCAGAGAGGCATCTATAAGTTTTAACAAGGGCAGAATTTGAAACTACTGGTTTAAGTATTAGTCTCTGTCTATGAAATGCAAACGGACAGAGCTAATACTGGTGCAGGCTTATTATTTTTTGAACCTGGATTACTAAACTCTGTTTTCTAAACACTGCCACTTTCACACAAGTTTAAAAAAAAAACACAGAAGAAGATGGATATTTTCTCTTTGGTGTAAAAGTTCCTAATATAGTCTGTGCTTGAACATACGGTTGTAAAAAGGTTGAAATTTAAAAGTCTGAAAAAAATACAAAAAAAGTTGTGCATTAGAATGTAAGAAGTTTCTGATGATTCTGAGCTCTAAATCCAGTTTGGCTGCTTTACTTATAAAACTTTAAAAGCATTTTTTTGCACGTCTGTTAATATTTATCTCATCAGGTCTTTCACACATTCACAGTACTCAACTTAGTTTATCAAACATTTTACAACAGAGTACCAAAAGCAGTGCATCTATCATTATTAGAATGTGTTGGCGTTGTCTCTAGACTGACAACTGAACATATCAGTTACCACATCTCAATGATTATCAAGCTGGAAACACAACATATTTAAGTAATTTTCTAGAATGACGTTATGAATTCAGAGATTCACAGAACATAGTTCATTTTAACAGCACCATTAAAAAAAGTTTCCTTAATGAACTTTTAAGATCATCTATAACGACCTCATATGCATTCCGAATAGTATTTCTGAAAAGTTTCTAAGGATAATCAATAGTAATAACTTTGAATATTGGTAAGGGCATTAAAGCTTTAAAATGACTTTGTCTTTGATTCAATTATTACATGTTTGAAACCTTGAATGGAACACTGGAACAGTGCTATTATCAATGGAACTTTATTATCTGTTGTGTGATAATCAGGTTCTGAACGGCCTCCTTGTTGACTCCTCCTTTTTCTTGGAGGTGCCAGCTCTTGGGAAGAATGAGTGCATAGACTAACACCAAAAAAAACCAAGAGGCTGATGTCTATCTAAGACAGATCCAAGTCTGTTTGCCAGATTAAATAGTGCTAAATTCCTTTGTTGCAATGTAGTCTTTACTCTGCTTGTTGACACAGTTGAATAGGATTGTCACACAGCACACTTCATAGGAACCCTTTTTTTTTTCTAGTGAGGAATTTAAGCAACTTTGAACGAAGCATGGTCTGAACAATACAAGAGCTGCTTACGAATTACCTGCAATTAAAAAGATCTCACCTAGTTCATAATCCAGATGGAAGAAACTTTGACTTTCACTTCGACAATGCTATTTCTAAAATTTTAATTGAAAAAGCTTCCTGGATGGGAAGTGAAACGTCATCAAACTTGGAAACAAATTGCAGTGGATTTTTTTTTTTTTTTACTTTTTTGGGAATGACTATGACCTGGATGACTGAGAATATATTTACCAGCATATAAGCATTAATATACTTCCAGTTACCTTCATTGGAAGTTAAAACAACTGGTGAAGTTAAGGTTGAGCATCCCTCTTCTTAAAAAGGGAATAGAGGTGACAGAATACCAGTTGGTTCCAAGATGATAAAAAGCTGTCCGGTGTACAAAGTATAAGGCCAGTCTTGTACAGTTGGTCCTACTTAGCTGATTTGAAACACTTGTTGTTATTATCACCACCCTCTTCCTTTCAAACTGATCTTAAACTTAAAATTCTTTGATGTATAACCGTTTTTAAAGTCGAGAGAGAGCAGTGAACTATTCATACGTAAAAGGATACCATTTGTGGTATATTTTCTAACTTAAATAATCAGTAAATATATCAGGAAATAATTTTAGGCTAAAAGTAAAGAACCTTTCCCATTTTTTATTTAGACTATGACACAGATTAAAACATGTTAATCATTGTATATCTACATATTTTATTCTATACTGCAGCTCTTTTAGAATATTTTTTACAGCAAAAATTGTGTGCGTGAATAACTGATCTTCTTGTATGGACCTATTTGTTCTGCTTCATATTTAAACATTTTGTATTTAACTTTTATACAGTTAATATGAAAATGTATTCTTAGCGCTACATGACAGGGTAATCACCAGTGGAACATGTGCCATAATTTGAAAACCATGTCCTCAAAGTAATTAGTCTGCTTTCATCTAATGGTTCTGAAATCCCTAGGGTATTGTTGGGGATCCAGGTTTACCTGGCAGAAATGGTGATCCAGGAATAGAGGTATTATCCTGTGATTTACACATTTTTTCCTAATTTTTTTTTTTTGTGTCCTATCATTATCCTGTAAATGTCATCCGTTTCCTTGCAGGCATATCAAGGACCCCAGGGTCTCAGTGGAAAACCTGGGCGTAGTGGAGGAAAGGTCTGATCTTTTTTCAGTTCCATAAATAAATGTGAATAGAGTTGTTTTTGCAAATTAATTTACAGCCATTTGTGTTTTTTTACAGGGGGAGAAAGGCATCCTGGGACCAGCAGGAGAAATGGGCCCCCAAGGCAAAACAGTAAGTCACATTTTCAAGCTGTACAGTTACTATAAACAAGCACATAATGTATTTTGTCCATAAAGTAGTTTGCCATCTTAAAAAGAAAAACAAAGAATAAAGCAATTTGTAGTTTGGTTTATAAATGTCTTTTTCTCAAGGGCCTGAGAGGTTACAAAGGTTCTGCCGGAAAGCCAGGAAGACCTGGATTTATTGGTCCACCGGGACCTACTGTACGTACTCCAAAAGAACTTTCTTGGGTTTTCAAAACACAACTAATTTTCTTCAAACAATAAATGCATGTCAACTCTTAACAGGGTCATGTGGGCGTACATGGAAAACCAGGAGTCAAGGTAAAACATCCTCTGTCCATTAAAGAGAGAAAGAGATGTCTTAATCATTGAGACTAATCAGGAATTATTTCCAAAGTACATGTTTTGCAGATGTACTCTTTTTCTAAACCAATATGTTTTACTTATTTGGAAATTAATGTTGGAATTTTAGCTATTAAAAAAGATCCGGAATTACTTGACAAAAGGTCAGATAAATATCTTCACACAAATGTAAATGCATAACTGCTGATTAGGTTTTATTACCATCACTTTTAATGAAAACACAATTACCAAAGTTCCCCTCTGGGCCTGTTCATGATATTTACACACTGAACTGAGCCAATGAAAATGACAGATTTTCCAGAAAGCAGAAACAGCTGTTTGTGTTTCCTTAGCATGCTTTGGCAAGAGTAAACAAATCTGAACAGAAGGAACCAGCACTGGGAACTCAGGGTTGCCTCTAAATATGTATTTGGCATGTAAATCACAACAAGGATGGATATATAGGTGTACAAGCACAAGTGAAAAAGCATAAAAGTTAGTCAGGGCATATAGGTCTATTCTTAGGGGATTGACAGTATGCCAATTTAATCAGGATTAATCGTTTATAGGGCAATTTACCTTTTTTGATCACTTGCATACCCCTTATAAATGGAGTCCCCCCCATTGCTTAGTGAGGTCTAGAAGCATAAGATCTATATCCAGCCATTCAGCAAAGATACTGCTACATGGCTGTAGATGAGCCCTTGAATGATACATTACCTATTCGAAATAAAGTTTAAAAAAAGTTAACAATTCGAGAAAAAAAGGTAAAAAGTTAATTGAAAAGTTAAAAAGTAAAGTAAAAATTTTAATAAGCCTAGTTAAAAATTGTATTTAGGTTTATAAACTAAAAATGTAAGCGTCGCTATCAGCATTAATGCCTCTAAGGTTATCCAAACAAATGTGTTTCTTTCTCTATAAGTGTTTTTCATGAATTTCTTATAGAAACACTTTTGTTATTTTTTTCTAATATATTCTAGCAAGTTGACATTTCTTGTTATTACATTGACATTGAATTTTTCCATCAACATATCCATATTTTGTTAATGTAAAAAGGTAATAAAGTCTTGTCCAGGTTTCCAATTACACCATTGGCTTGAAATTTTGATTTTTAAACAATTTCAGTGCCCTACAAAGGGTTAAGTTGCTTTTACTTTTCTTGCTGGCAGTTAAAATTTAAAGCGGATAGATTATTCTTAGAGAAAATGAAAGGATTTGTTGTTTGAGCTGAATACTTCTCCATGAAATTGCACCCATACATACACTTCATCATGTACAGCCTGTGTCCCACACATATTGGCCTCAGAAAGGCACATCTGTTAAGCGCTTTTACAAAGAAAAAAAAATGCAGGGTTGAACAGTGGGATACAATTACAGATCTTTTTTAATAATCCGGTTTTACGGTGATTACAACAATTAGCCACACTTAAGGCAAAAAGGATGGAAATATGAAAAGCAGAATGAGAAAAGGGTACATTATAAGCCTTAACTTCACCATTTTATCTTCATGAGGAAGTACAATAAATCGAAGAACGTTTCTAATGGAGACTTAAGCGTATGTTCAGTACAATTTTTTAACCTTTTATCAGGAGACTCATGTTTTATCAACTGTAATGGATGCCTTCAGGATACATGATTTAGGATTGAGATATTTTCTGTAATATTTTTGTTTTATTTTTCACAATAACTTAAGTTATTAGCAGTTTCCCTTGTTGGGTAAAACAAACTCCTTTCACAATGTTAAATACATCGTTTTAATATATTTTCATACCATATACGGAGCAGATTGCTGTGACATCTGCTAGGAGAGATTTTCCCAACGAAAAAGGATTTCTTAAGACACTGTTCCTATTGCGTGATTGACTTTATTGAATCCAGATTGAATTCATCATGGAATCAGACAGACATTGATATTGTACTAAGTGCATGGGGTGGTGAGTGTAGAAATAAGTGTGTATATTTGTAAGTTTCGTAAGGACTTAAGAGCTGCAAAGGGTATACAGATTAGGTCCCTAAAGGCAGAAATTTTACCAGGCAGCCTCATAAAAAGCATCACTGCAGGGCAATCATACTCTCTACTCAAAAGTACATCACTAGTGGCATAAGCAGCAGACCACAGTCCAAAAAGGCAGAGAGGGAGACACAGGACACCAAACCCTCCTGGAACCAAACGACTATACCACCCCAGCTGTGCGGGCTATAGCCTGGGAACCCCCCTTTTTCTCCCTCGGGAGCCATTCCAAGAGTGGTTAGGGAGGAAGGATGCCCACCAGAGCCAGTTGTTTTGCCCGTCATCCCAACACACCTCTGGGACCAATAGGATGTCAGAATGGGGGCCCACCATGCTGGGAAGTGACACAGGCACCCACATACGTGGAAAAGACCCCACCGAAACAGGCTGTCCTCTGCTGGCCCCTTGGCCGCAACTACACTTTTATTGGAAACATCGCATAAAAAAGTGAACAAACACTTTGAATACAATAAATACATATTTGTTTAAACTATAATATGAAATCTATGCACTATAATAAATGTTCCTATCTGTGCACATTAAACAACAAAAACAAAGAAACAAAATGGCGTACTGCTTACATTACTATTCATTTAATCAATAGGGATTAAAACTGAGTTCAGGTAGTGATCTCTGATTATTCAAAAATGCCTTGATACTGTATGAACCTGATACTTGGAAACAAGGAAAAGAGGAAACAAGGCTTACAACACTTAAAAAAAAAACACTTATATCTTTTATAACTAATTATACCAAGACTAAGAATTATTATTTGAATTCTGTTTTGTTGAAAGGTTATTGGTTATGTCAAACGTTCAAATTAAAAAACAAACATGTTGTTGATTATTTGGGACATAAGATCTGCAATCTATTGGTAAGTGCCATCTATTTCCTTTCCTTTGCACAGGGTGATTCAGGAATACAAGGAATCAAAGGAGTTAAAGGTGCCGAGGTAAAGCCTTAGATATAAAATATTGCTCACTTTTTGGTTGGTTCATTGTCCCTTAATTGTGTCTTTTTAACATCAGCTTTTTTTTTTATTTTTCAGGGGGGAAAAGGAACAAAGGGTCCAAATGGAAGGGTGAGCTACAGTCTGCTGAATACTGATCAAACCAGTATTTTAATGTGACTAATACTTGAAAGTGATTATTTAATTTTGCAATAGAACATTTTTTTTTTTTTGAAAAAAATGAACTATATACAGAGGTGCAGGTACAGTGCTCCCATTGTCTGTCCTGTAACCTGTCCTTAGTGCTTTGATTGTAGTTTATGAAAAAAAGAATAGAATAGAAAAAAAAAGTGTGGAAATTGTGGTGTTAAAGCAGCAAAAGATTGTAGCAAAAGGGGTCACACAAATATGGACCTTAAAAAAGTGTATAAAAATAACAGAATAAGGGACAGCGTTAAAAAAATAAAAAATAAAATACTGTACAGTACAATGTTTTTACAATTTAAATACTGTGCATCTGGAGAATAAACAACCAATAAACAGCTGTGGATATTTAGTAATGGATACGTGCAAAGATGTGCAAAAATGACAGCAGCAAATGACCCCAAATAGTGGCAGTTGTCAAAGATGAGGCCTGCAATTCAGCAGAGAAATCATGCAGGCGCATTTTATCTAAATATGATATTGCTGGCTCTGTTTTGGTTGGAATATTTTCAATTCATTCAATGAAACTTAGAGAGTTAATAGTTGGAAAAGTCCAATATGAATCCATCAAATAACATTCCTTACATATCCAGAGCATCTGCAGATGTGATAAGGGCAGAAACACCCACTATTGCAACAAAATGAGTCCTGCACATTTTTCAAATGTTCTCTGTTCCTTTTTGTTTCTGCGTGCACATTTGTATACACAGTTTTGAACCTATATAGAAAATTAAACAAGCTTCATGCTTTTATGACATTATTGGAGTTTTTCTATTTACTCAGGTTTTGATCATATAATAATTTAAGCAGGAAAGATTTATTTTGCTGTGACAGCTGTATCTCAAAGGCTCTGTCATTGGGCTTACATTATTTTTACCTGTTCTGATGCTCTTTTCGATTCCTGTGCTATTAATGTTCTGTAGGTTGGAGACAGAGGTGAGCCAGGCCCTCAGGGAGGACGAGGGAAGCGTGGACCTGTAGGCCCACCTGGTCGTTCAGGTTCTGTCGGAGTAAAGGGTGTCCGAGGTGAAGAAGGACCAGATGGTTTTCAGGGACTTCCAGGGCCTCCAGTGAGTAACTGATTCGTTTTGGCATAATATGGATTCAGTTTGTTCATCAGATTGGCCTATTTTAAGGACTTTTATTGAAAAATACTAGCCCCTGAAAAATACCGTCAGCACTTTTTCAGGATTTTTTTTCCATAAATAACAGCATCAGTGTGGTGTGGCATGTGATCAGCGTGTTCAATTAAAGGATCCTAGGTTCTTTTAACAGCAGCCTTGAGCTTAGCCACACTGCTGAGTCTGGAATCTCTCATCTCCCTCTTGACAATTCTTCATTGATTCACTAGGGGTTATGGTCAGGTCAGTGTTCTTCCCAATAAAGCCAAGTTTCACTAGGCTATAACCATAAGACTAGGTATTTGTACTATTGGGCAGGTGCCAAGTTTAGCTGGAAAAGGGAATCACCATTTTCAAATAGCTCAACATTAGAAAGGAGCAGGAGGTGCTCTAAAATATCCTGCTAGATGGCTGCACTGCACACTGGACCAACACCAGCATATAATATGTCATTGGTGGAGTTAGACATTTTCATCATCAGGGGCTTAGCACATATGATATTTCATTATAATGAAAGGGATGTCCCTCTCTGTGCTACCATGTGAAGATCAACCAGAATCACATGAAAAATACTATTGTTTAAAAAAAGGAAACTTGGTTTGACATACTCATTTATTATGAACATAGAATAGAATAGAATAGAATAGAATAGATGAGAATAGAATATAAAATCCTTTTATTTTAAACAATATAATAGTTACTTTCACCTTTGTTGTCAGCTTTAATCTGGAATGAAAGTATTTAAGACATAGGAAACGGGGATAGTGATGCTTTCATCCATTTTTACATATCTGAAAATATTTAAACAACAATAATCAAGTGTAAAATCCAGGAATACGACTCTTCTATTTCCTAGGATTAATAAAATGAATCAATCAATAGTGTTTATTAGTGCTATCTGTTCATTCAGTTTTCTCTTCCTTCTTCCCTGTCCATCTTCTTGTCTTTGTTGCTGACTGACTTTTGCCTGCTCACTGTTTTACACTTTTAAGTATATTTTTCTTCCTTCTCTTCAACTGCTCTTTCCATCAGTGTCCCTATTTTCCTCCACTCTCATTTAATCTTCTATCAGTCTTCTAATCTTCTTCCTCTCCTCTTCTACCAATCTTACACTAATATAAAACAGGGACATAATAAAATCCAAATTCCTTTCCAAACCTGCTGAGTTAATCAAAACACAGAGTTATCGAAGTTTAAGTAATTTTAATTGTATTGTATATTGTGAGCAACCAAACGGTATTCTAGTCAAGCTTCTAAAAACAAGCCAGAGGCAGCAGGTCTTGTCTTCACCTTTTCTTAGCTTTTCCTTTCTTGTTCCGTCTCCTCATTCTGGTTCCTCTATCTGTCTCTCCCTCTCTGTGCTGCACTCATACATAAACAAGAGCAAATTACTATTAGCCAAAGGTATATGACAACATGTTCTCTCATCTTTCTCCTGCCTTTTGAAGTATGATCTGATGTCCATGGCTGGCAAAAAAACTTAAATCATTTTACATATGTTGCTAAAATAAGCAAAAAAAATAAAAATAAATCATATTTATAAACTTAGGAAAACTAAAAAAAAACACAAAAAAGCCTGGATCCTTCACAGCTTTTAGGAAAAGTTGTAAAGTGAGAGAGAAACCAGGGTTTTATTATAACAGAGATACAAGCATTTGAAAAGAGGATCAAATTTACCCCTTTGGGTTTCATTGTGAAAGATATCTGTTGGGCTTGAACATGTTCATTCATCTGTTGAAATTCACATCTGTTCTCCCTACATAGCAACATAACATGGATGTAAGCAGGGAGGAGAGTTGACAAGGATTATGAATAAAGTAACCAAGTGCTTGGATCCATGAATGGTTTGTTTCCGCTTTGTGGTTGACCATTACCAACCAGATAAACTGTAGATTGTCTGAATGTCTGATTTCCTTCTTATCTGCTCTGGCCCCCAAATGAAGGAGATGATGTGAGGTGTTGCCCTGGTAGGGCTGCGCACCGACTTCCTGAGCTTCTAAAGAAGCAATGCGGGGGCGCCAGCATCTGAGAGACTAACACAAATGAACGTGCCCGTGGAGGGTTGATATACAGAAACCATTAGTCTGAATGTTTGCCCTAACCCCTAATCCCTCATCACTATATAGAATGGGCAATATATACTGGACTTTATAGAGAAGCCACTCATTTTTGCTACTTGTTGGTCACGTGAATCCAGCTCCCCGCTGCACGGTGCTCCCTGAACCATCTTTGTTATCCAACCCCCCCCATTCTTTGCGATGACAGCTCCTGCGAAGCATTATGGGACATATCTGCTTGTCTAGTGACCATTATCAATACCAGATCTGTATCATCAGCTCATTTGCGCATGCGCAACCAGATATACACTCGGGTCACCCTCGATTTTAATTTGTAAAACAGACCTAAATTATGTTTTTCCCTCCTTAAAAATAGTAAGCGTACTAAGCTATAATGTGTTTAAGTTTAATAATGTACTTGCTTAGAAAATAAAAGCATTAACATCCTTTCTGTGTTACCACTTGTTTGTGCCCGATCTGTACCAGAAATGGGATCCTACACTATTTGGGAGCTAAAATTTTTTCTGCCTTTGATTTAAATATAAATCTAGCCTTTCTGAGTTTTATTTTTTCCCTTCTTTTAAAAATTGTGGTATATAGCGCATAATCTAAAGAAATAACTAAAAGAAAAAAAATAAATGGTTAATGATATTTTCCTGGACTACGCTAAGCATGTCAGATGATAACGTCAGACAAGCAGTTTAATGGAGAAAATGTAAAAAGCATCAAATTGTCTCAGAAAAGTCATAAAAAAAGGTTTTAAAGATTTGTATTTGCATTTGTTAGAGACTTAATGATAGAAATAAACACTTTTAGTACCATAATTACATTATTTATGGCGACCTGGAAGAATATCTGCTTGCACATGTGAAAATGAGCTGATGGTACAGATTGTGCTTCTGATACAGATCGGGTAGTGACAACCATCATTGCTCACTACTTTTCAAGGTGCACTGTTTAAAATTTTAAGTCCAGTAGTTTTTCATCCACTAGACTTTTGGACACTCAAATGCAATGACCACTATGTAGTGCTCAATATATTGCGGACGCTCGGACACAGCCTAGGGGATAGTAACAATGTGTGTGAAGAGAACGCCCTTTTTTCCTCTGGTTTGCACATGCTCTAACAGATTATAAGGGTTTTTCAACTATAATAAAATAAAAAATCCCCTCAAAAATAAATCCTTAAAAACACAAAGCATCCCACCCCCTTAACCCCATCGCTCTGCCACTTTACCATTGACTCCCATATAGTTAACATCTATAAGAACACACTATACCTGAGCTGAGACAACCTGGATTCTGTACCTCTCCTTTTCCCACTCCAGATTGGAAACACAGGTTTCTGAATAAAATGCAAAATAGTCTTTGATATAAGAGAGGAGTAATAACTACTGGGCAACAGTTTAGTTCTTTTCTTCTTGGTCAGTGTAAGATGTGTCTTCTATGTTTCTGGTTAAAGAGCAATATAAATCAAGGAATGAAATAGGTGTAGCCCGGATCATAGATAGTGTGCCTGGCGACTCTTGAAAAGCAAACTCTAGCCATGTGAATTTCCCTATAACTGTCAAATAGGTTTTGTTTCAAAATCTTCTCAAAACTGCAGTCATCTTTGTTGGTAATGTGCCTCAGGTCCTAGATACTTTTTTCCCTTTAACTTCTCTTTCCATTAATATGCTTGAATACAGCCCTTTGGCAACACAAAACTTTTTTTCCTTTTTTTTCAAATGAACTTTTGTAGCTTATCAATGCATGTCTACTGTAGGTCATGACAATTAGGTGCACAATACACACTCATATCATGTCAGATCATATAATCTAAAACACAAGTTTAATTTCCTAGATTTTATTACTAAAAGAAGTAACCTTTGCATGATTTTTCTATCTGCTCTTTTAATCTATGTTCAAAAAACATCAACAACCAAACATAGAGAAGCAGTTTTCAATCTGGAAAAATGCAACAAAAATCAGGAAAATCCTGAATTATTTTATTCTAAGGTTAAATGCCCATTTGTGTAAAGTTTCCATTGACTGAATTATGTAAACTGATCCTGAGACATCATTAAATTCAGTCTGAAGTGTAATTGTTCTCTAATGTCCTTTATTATGACACCACAGTGTAATTTTCTTTTCTTTTTTTAATGTTTTATTCAGATTAAATTCTCTGGTTGCTGAAATGTGCTTGTCACATAAACTTGCCTTGCCAGTAACAACAGAGTAATCATTATCTGTAATTTTAACATTAACTAGCCAACACTTTTTTCTTGGTAACACATTTACTGTCGAGAACACTTGTAGACAGCTTCTTGTTATCCTTGACTCGTTTGTGACTCACTGCACCAATATCATTTAGTGTGGCTGTAAACCCGCCCAAATGAGCTGCAGCAAATATTACTGGCTTTGTTCACTCCATCTCCTCACAGACTCAAGTAATTGCTCCAGCATGACCTGTCTCATAGCCAGGTGACCTACAGTGATGGATGCAGTAATGGTTTCTCACACAGGGCCCCGTGCTCCCTGCTGAACATGTGATTGAGGTCTGTAAGAGAGTGGTCCTGGAGCAGATGTCCACCTTCGCTAACTCTGTAAAGAGGACGTGTGCTGCCGTTTGCCCTCTCTATGGGGATGTCCCCATGGGTGCCCCTGGCCCCCCCGGACAGAAAGGACCCCCGGGACCTCCTGTGAGTTTCACACTTTGAAAAACAGTTGTTATAGATGTATCTGAACTCCTGGAGACCTTTGCCATGAAAACCCTGTCTGACTGTTATACATGTCGCTAATTTTCGCTCTCTCTGGCTGAGCAACATTTAACCACATTGCAAGGGTCTGGACTGGACTTGGAGAGCTGAAGTGTTTGGCAGAAAAGCTTGGAATGAAAACATTACAATTTTCCACGTCTCCATGAGGACAAATAAGGAGTCGGAGACTAGACACTTTGTCTGTGTTGAGCGGTACTTGGCTCAACTGGGAAGCCTTCCCCACATTATTATACATCGTAGAATCAATTCATGTTCCACGGAAGAATTTCTCAAGCTAGTAAATATTATTGAATTCAGGATTCTTTAAAATGTATCCGTATATTTATTTATGATCTGTAGACCTCATGTTTGGTTTGTCATTGTCAAATACACAATACCTGAACAGTTTGAACCTAAACACACTTTAAGGATTATTATAAAGAACTAAGAACAAAGACATTTTTTGAAAATTAAATTGTAAATAAGATCATATAACTTACAGTTTGTTTTGGAATGGTGTGTCCAGGGTGACCCTGGTGTTAATGGTGCTGCTGGGGAACTAGGCCTGCCAGGATTCTATGGAGAAGCTGGTGAGCCAGGTCGACAAGGACTACCAGGTAATACAACCACATTGTTGGCACATGGCCAAACAATTTATACATGGCCAAAACCATAAAAGATTTCTAAACTAGTTAACTAAGTAAAGCTCTGTCTCAGAATAAATGCAGGAAGGGATGTTTTAATTCACTCCAGTTTCTTTGTATGGCACCAGTTCACAGGATCTTGATGCACTTTGCAGAAACAATTTAATCAAACATACGGACAAATTGTAAAAAGCTGTCTAACCAAGGAAACCCAGCTGATTGCAACAATCCTTTAGTTTACTCCTCTTGGATGAGCATGTAGCTCATCTAGTTAAGATTACTTTGCATTGTATCGTTGACTCTGCAGCAATCCCTTACAGCAAGCATGCATGCAGCAACAGTGGAGAGGAAAAACCGTCTTTTAAGAGGGAGAAATCTCTTGCAGCACGAGGCTCAGTGTGAGTGGCCTTCTTCTAAAGGCTGACTGGGCAACTCCCAGTTGGGGGCATATGCTTGAATTGATTTCTTACATAAACAGTGGAAAACAAGCTACGAAACAAGCTATAAATAGACAGTATAATTTTCATAAATATGTTTTAAATTAGGCAACAGGTAGAACTATATTGTAGTTACAGTATGCACTTATTGGCTAACCTATTAGGTACACTGGCTTGTCTACAAATAGTAAATCAGCTGATCCAATGGAAGAAACTTTAATGGATCAAAGTTGCTGGAGCTAGTTGAGCTGATCTGAATTTTTCAGAAACTGATCTACTTGTATCATTCAAAACCATCTCTAAGCTTAACAGGCAATAGTTACAAAAAGGGAAAATATCCAGTAAGCAGCATTGGAGTATCTAATGCCTTGTTACCATTAGAAATCAGAGGAGAATGGGCTGAATGGTATGAGATGATCGAAAAGCTAAGTATGGTAGTTTACAAGAACCACTAATTACAACTAAGGTATGTGGAATAATTTATGCGAATGCTTAATATGTATGAGCAAAACGGCCAAAGCATCAAAACATGTAGGAAAATGTACATAAGTAATAGCAATAAATAGAATCATTCTACCTTATATACAAAATGTAGGCAAATGATGGTTACAAAGTAGGGTGGGGGATAATTTCTTTACATACGTTTTGCCCCTGCAAGTTCATGATGCTATCCACTCAGTTTGCACAAACATCTCACCAAAATATTTCCTTACTATGTTGAATCTTATTTTGTGAGTATGGTCTGGAACTAAAAGGATCAAACCAGTCTAAGATCTTCTGAAGGATATTAGATATTTGCTGGACTCCATCCTGTATAAGCCTGAAGCTACACTACAAATGTAGATAAATGCCTCCATAATTAAACAGGATGCTATAGCTATATTACATTTTGACAGATGTAATTTGCAATTGAAATGAACCTGGAAAAACTGACATCCAGTTTTCTTTTTGCTCAAGCAGACAGTTTATGTAGTTTGGGGTTGTGTGTGTTTTGGAGCTTAGAGTATAGTCTACATGGATTTTGTGCAATTGGCCTTATAATGAAAATGCATAGATAATTGATCATTTGTTTTATCTGCATTGAGAGTGTGATGCGAAGGTAATAGCATATTTATAACATCTAAAAATGGAATACCTCTTATCCAGCTGATTTAGCTGTTTCCCCTTCAGATTCTCTAATGCGTAGGGTTAGTCCATGTATAGTTTGCCTATATCATTTAGTTCTAAGATATTGTTTCTGGTTTTAGACAAAATAAGAGTCTGCTACGTAAATCCTGAATTCAGAATTTTCAGTCAGAATTATTATGGAATGAGGATGTTACGTCAATGCCTGCAGTTATCTATGGTGCCTTTTGAAAAATCTTACTGTTGCTATTTTAATATCTACTTTGCAGCTCGGCTTGTAAGCTCCTGCTGCAAATGAAGTTTAGAAATGTTTTCTTTTGGGGCGGTTGGGGGTGTGACGGTGTGTGTGTCTGGGGGGGTATTCTTGATGTCACAAACTTTTAAGTTCTGAGGCAAGCTAATGAAATGACAGATCGTTCCAAAAATGTTCCAGACATTTATTTAAAAGTGATCACACACACATAACACACTGTTTTTATGAGTATGAATGATGCCAAGACCTGTGTTTACTGTATTTCACTGCTCAAACAATAATACTTTTGTAAAAATTACAGGTGGCAAAGGAGAGCGGGGAGATAAAGGAGCCAGGGGTTACAGCATGCTAGGTGTCATTGGAGATCAGGGAGAAAAGGGTAATTTAATCTTTGATCTACAGTAAGATTTGGTTGATCATTTAATTGTACTATAAAACTATGTCAGCAGTTTTTACTGTTTAAATTTTTAAACTGTGTTTCACTACTAATAGGCTTTAGATTCCAGTGAAAACATGTGCTCTAGTAGAGTTGTTGCATCATAATGTCTTATTAGCCAAAATTGCAATAATATTTCTTTAGAAAATACTCCATTCCTGGAATGTGTAAAAACAAAGCATTAGTCAGCTAACAGAGCAGATTGGGAAGTGTGAGGACTAAAAAACATTTCTGTCTTTATCACAGGCCAGCTTGGACGTACTGGCAGAGCCTTTAATGGCCAGCCTGGGAAACCAGGTGAAATAGGACACACTGGTCGGCCTGGGCTCAGGGGACACCCAGGTCTCAGAGGACCTCCAGGCGTCTGTGTCACCTCAGGGTGTGCTGAGCAGAGCTCTCCCATCAGCACGCGTCAGCCACCACCAAGGAGCCTAAGAAATCGTTACTAGAATTATCTGTTTTCTCCAAAGTTTAAAGGAGAAAGAGATTATTTTCTGTTAATATGAAGTTGTTATGTTACATTATACATGTAACATAACAACCCCCTTTGGAGTACAAAAAAATGTCCACGCCACTGAAGTTTATTTCACACTTCAGGTTGCAACAAAACAAACTACACCATCTTTACAGAGGAACACTTTTGTGTAACTGTATTTTTTTTTCACAGTTCTATAATGTAGATTAGAAGAAGATTCTTTGTTGTCTGTGTTATTTTAAACATATTTCTTTTTTTTATTTGTAACAATATCTAACTTTGCTATAATCTATACATTAAAAAAGCCTCTGTGCAAAATGGAGTGAAAACATTTAACAGCTCCCTGAGAGTTTTTTCATTGTACTTTAATCCTCCCATCTTTTCAGTGGTTGTAGAGAGCCTGCTTTTTGCTGTAGATCTTCTCAAATCTGGGTTGCAGTGTCACAACTGTCCATTATGCTCAGTCAAGCAAGCGCTGTTTTTTTTTTTTTTTTTTTTTTTTCATTCATCCAAACCCCTTCCCCCGCCCCCCCCCCCAATGGCATTGCGCCCCCCCTAGGGGGCGCGCCCCACACTTTGGGAACCACTGATGTAGAAGAAACCAAATATTTGAGAACTTTTTGATTTGATTTAATGTGTAGTTTTATATAAAATGATTTGCTCACTAACTGATCTTTAATATTTAATGTTGGATTCCAAGTCTACCAATGGAAAAGAAATAATGTATGGAGATGTCAAATAATTTACATATTATACTGTAATGTTTGTTGCTTGAGCAATTAAATATGGTCAATAGGCTAACACCTTATAATCTTTTTTTGAAACATTTTCCACATATAGTTTGTGATGGTACGGACTTCATGTATTTTTTTTTAAAGGTGGTGACTAGAGGTAGTAGACCTGCAACTGCCCATATTTTGCTTCTACTAAACATCTGTCATGATGCCTTGTTTTCTGGCCCACATTAAGAACACACTGTGGAGACAGGTAGGGCAGATTTAAGATAGTTTATTAAAAAAAACAAAAAAACAAGGATGACATGAGAAGTTTCTTCAGTGTGTCTGGAAACGAAGGGAGCATGAGGCACACTGCATGAATGCACTAAAAGGCTTACCCTGTGAGACATAAACGATCTACCGGGGGAAGTGAACGGGGCTGTTGAGGTACGCAGCCGAGATAATCAGAAACTTACAGCAGGGAAGGTGGCTGCAGAGCGGGAGGAGGCTGGTCAGAAGAGGGTTTGGCAGGGCTTGGCTGATGAGTATGCGGGGTAGTGACAAATGTCAGCTGGATGTCGCACCAATTGAGAACTGGCTTGATGGCTTGAATCTCGGAGAGGCTGCGGACCAGTGGCTGATTGGCGCAGCAGAGATCTGTGACTCGCAGGGAGTGGTGGCCTAGTGGTTGAGGCATTGTGCTGGGAATCCTGAGATTCTGAGTTCGAGCTCCACTCCCACAGACTGCCACTTTGGGTCCCCGAGCAAAGACCCTTAAATCCACACTGCTCCCAGGGCGCCACACAATGGCAGCCCACTGCTTCCTAAGGGGATTGGTTAAATGCGGAGAGTTCATGTCGTTGCTCTGTGCTTGTGACAATTTAATGACAATAAAAGCTGAAAAAAAAGGAAGGTGCTCCGAAATGATTTTCGAAGCCGAACAACAACGTATCCCTAACAGGGGAAAAACTAAAACTGCCACAATACAGTGATATTTAACAAAGATATATCACTGTATACTAGGAGCAAAGTGTTAACTTACCAGTCTAATAATAAATTGAGAAAAGACAATTGGTTTTAAATCTGGATTCTTCTTCCAGCCTGCACCAACAAATAAACTCCATTCCCAAATCGACTCTTGTTTTTCCTCAGGCATGATCCATTTCAGTTAGCCTCGTTTGAAGGTTTAATCTTTTCCCTTGCCTCAGCCATGACCAGCAGTGGAGCAGGTGGAAAAATAGTAGAGCAACAGCCTTAGCTCCATGACTGTATAAGAGCCTGTGGCCTTAAAGCGATATGTTCTTCCAGGTCACATTACCTGTTCAATGATGATCCATCATTGGCATGGTCAGAATAAATGCAGGAAGGGTTTAGGCTCAGCTCCCAACTTACATAGTCGGTTTTTCAAGAGGGGAGCCCTGCGTGTAGCATTGATAGTGTCAAGCGCTCTATATTGGACTGAGGAATGATTTAAAATAACTCATATGCGTTAAGTCTTTAGGTCACAGAGTCTGCGGTGTGCTTTTAAAACAGACCATCTTTTTAATTAGTTATAGTGAAATACTATGCTGCATCTTAAAAATAAAAAAAGGACAATAATATGTCATTTTACTGGAAGATTTGACTTTTTAGTGGCATCTAAAGGTTTAAATTAATTCAGTTCAATCAATTTTTTTTCCAATTAAAGAAATAAAATGTTAAAGAGATATTATGTAAGTTTTTACTGAAAAATATCTTTAAAATAGCCATTTTATTTTACCCTTTATGATTGAAACCTGTTTTATGAACAGGCAGACACATCAGTAGATCAGCAATGATGTGCCTAGAAGCCTGCAGCCTATTTTCCTGAATGTTTTTGTGACGTCAAAAACGTCCATGCTAAATGTGTCCGACCTAGCAAACAATCAAAGCCTTATAATTAAGATGGATTTGGTTGATAGTCAAAAGCACTTGGCAACAAGCTCAACTCAGACACCAATTGCACCTCCCAATAAGGTGAAAAAACAAAACCTGGTTAAATACAAGCGGGAGCTACGGGAAGGTTTTGTGTTTTGGGCACAGGTGGCAGTATTATTAGAAAAGTATTTAATGCCTCTTTAAATAAACTTTTATAAGCATGTAATTCAGCAGTGAACCAGGTTCCCACTTACCAAAAATGTTAAAGGGTAAAGTTAATGATTTTCGTGAATTTCTGAAAAGACCCACCCTCTCCACTTCAAAATAAAACATGCACAACCCTCTACCTGAGAGGGAACGCCTAATAAACACCTGTGAGAGCATGCATGAGCCCATTTCTCCTTGTGCATGCTTTGTTTAAAAGTTACTGTTTGCATCGCTCATACAAGCTTACTTTCCAAAAGAAGATTTGCAATTTTTCCACTATGTCAGAGTCACAACAGGTGTTATTCTGAGAAATATGCCTGCCGAGAATTCCCTTCCCTCTCGCACATTGATGAGAAAATGGATTGAAATATGAACGAAAAGGGAAGTTTTAAACATATTTTCTTAATATTTTCAGATTTCTTATGCATGGATGCCCAAACATTTTGAATTTTGGTAGAAATTTGTTTTGTTGTATATCCTTAATCTCAATGAAAGCACTATGCAAAGATTTCCCTTCTCTGTTAATTATATTCTGTGGACATGATCTTCTGATGTTGAAAGCACATTAGATTACTCTAACCTCATAGACTTGCCTAAGCTCCTACAGAATCAGGAAGACAAATTCATTTTTATGGTGTCCTTAGAAATGAAGCTTTAAAATTAAAGAAATGTTTATTTTTTTGGCAACCTAACCACAGATGACACATAATGATTGCAGCGTAATGGAGTGTTTTGATTAAGAGAAAAATCCACTCTGCTTTCTCATTAACTCTGAAGACATAATGGTTAGACTAAGGCCATTTCTGCAAATGACTATAAAAAACATAATTAAGTTCCATTGCCATGATCTGCCTTTAAAGAGGCTGAACTATATAAAACTTCATTAAGATTCAAAGGATATATATATAAAGATCAAGCTGTTGCAGCTGGGATAAACACAATGAATTATTTTGAAACTGCAAAACAAGGCTGTGGGCTTGTTAGTGGAAGTGCTTTTTAATAGCATATTTTTTCCAGCATTATAAGGATAAAATGTAATCATTCAAAAAAATTTGACATCAAGCTTTAGCCCCAGTAAATTCCACAGTGTTAAATATGCAGTGTCAATGTACATAGACTCTTTTAGATTTATTAGAACAACATGACTAAGATATACACTATAAAGTGAGTTAATATAACAATAATTCTGAGTGGGACCAAATGCACTCAGATTTGTGTTAAATTTAACCCTTTAAATGTTACTTTAACATTGCAAAATACTTAAGAGCTCCATTAGCTTCGGAAAGTCATCCTCTTCTCCTTTTGTTACTGCTGGATCATAGACTTAGACAACTTATATTGTCATTTTGTTTACACAGTGTTTATAAAACGAAGTTTTGTACAGCTTTCAGAATATATTTTCATACTATTAAGTGCAGCAGTGATCAAATGCAAACAGTGTGCGAGACAAAAACATGGTGCCAAAATGCATTTATATGGAAGTTCAGAGGATGAAATATGTATGGTGCAAATATGCAGCATTCTGGTTTGGTGTTATCAGTGTGATACAGAGACTGTGACTTGATTTAGAGTTTTTTCAACTGTTCAGCTGTCTGATGGCAGTGGGGAAGAAGCTGTTTTAGAATTTAATGGACATGCATCGAATGCTGCGAAGCCTCTTCCCAGAGGGCAGCAAGGAGAACAGTCCATGGTGGAGGTGTGAGGGGCATTTATGATGTCACAGGCTCGGGACAACCAGCGCTGGGATGAAATATCTTTTATGGAGAGAAGATGAGCCCTGATGATCATCTCTGTGGTTCTCACCACTCTTCTCACTTTCTTCCAGTCTGAGGAGCTGCAGCCTCCACACCACATAGTGAGACAGCTGGTCAGAATGCTCTACATGGTGCTCCTCATCCTCCACAGGAAGCACAAGCACTTCTGTGCTTGTATGTGCCTTTCTTACAGGCCTCTTTCATTCCACCAAGATAGCCAATTCTATCATGGAAACTTTCACTAATGTGTAATCCTGAATTTGCTTTCTGGGCTCAACAATCTGCTTCAGACATGCTCTCCTTGTATTACTGTGGCAAATCAGAGGAATTTATGATATATAGAAATGTACAGTTCAGCCTCAGTAATTGAAACATTTCAGAGCAACTGTTATACCCTGTTCATATAAGTTAG